TGGCCCTGGATCTGTAGACCAGGCCGTGTTTGCGATCGCATGATGCTCTTCCTCGGAAGCACTGGCCCTCCCCCGAGAGGCAGAGCCGCGCCTGCACATCTCCACCCCGCGGTCGGCCCGACCGCCGCAGGGCCCAGCGGCGCGGCGGCCCTTCGAGCGAGGCCCGGGGGCCGGGCAGCGGGAGCGCACCCCGCCTGGGGGGACGCAAAGGTGCATCTCCTCCTCCTCCTACTCCTCCTCCTTCCCCTCCCCCTCCCCCCCCTCCTCCTCCTCCACCCCCTCCTCCATATCCTCCTCCTCCCCCTCCTCCTCGCCTCCCCTTCCCCCCTCCACCCCACCCCCGACCAACCACTCCACCCCCCCTCCTCCTCCTCCTCCTCCTCCTCCTCCTCCTCCTCCTCCTCCTCCTCCTCCTCCTCCTCCTAGGCGGCCTTCTGTCTCAAACAGACACCGTCCGCAGCGACGCCGACAGAGAGTCCTGCTCACAATGAACAGGAACTGTTGTTGGGCATCGTAGCCGTTCTGGCCGTACCTATTTCGTTCATGCCGATCCCTACTCCCCCTCTTGTCCTACTACGGTGGGACCTAGGACAGGAGAGTACCCTTCAAGAAAATAACGACCTCCGCCGGCCAAAACACCCCAAACCACAAGATCACTCGAGGGTACACTCCCCCAAGATGCGCAAGAACATCCAACAAACACGAAGAACATTACGGCACCCTCCCCGAACCGACCTCCATCTTATACCTCGGTCTGACTGGCTGTCCTAATCCTCCTCCGCCCCGTCGGCTGCTGGGCCTCGATCGCCGATTCGCCCCTCACCCCTCTCACTCCTGGCGCTGTTTTTTCGTTCATAACGTTGGCCCCCGAGTCTCGACCCATTCCCCATGACAGGTGTGTGTCATCCTGAGCCGTTCTTGACGGTCCCGAGGCCTGTTAAGGGCCCCCCAAAAGCCGAAAATAGCAAACCAAGCAATAAGCAATAAGTGTTGATTGTTTCCTGACTCGACGGGTTCTGGGGACCTGTCCTCCTCCTCCACCTCCTCCTCCTCCTCCTCCTCCTCCTCCTCCTCCTCCTCCTCCTCCTCCCCCTCCTCCCCCTCCTCCCCCTCCTCCTCCTCCTCCTCCGCCACCTCCTCCTCCCCCCCCTCCTCCTCCTCTCCCTGTCCTGCTCCTCCTCCTGTGTCCTCTGGCGGGCGTAGCACGTCCTCCCCCGCCAGGGGAGGAGGTGTGAGGTCTCCGTATGCGGGACAGGGTGGGCACGTCAGGGCACCATGGGTTGGCGGCGCTCACGAGGGGGTGCACTCAAAACGTGTATTGAGGACGGGTCGTACTTGCGGGGGGAACGAAAGGGGGGGGTAGCAAAGGGCAGGGTGGAGAATCAGCTCACGTAGCTGATTTTTCCAGCGCCTCCTGGCGCCGGGAGGCGCCCATGTATCGCGGAATGGGCCGGGCGGCGGGGCCGAAACCAGCTGGATGCAACAGATTTCGTAACCCCCGCTTTCCCCCCTTTCGCCCGGCCCGATAGTTACTTGCTGTCGCTCGGACGTCCATTTCCAGTGCATGTTTCTGTGCCGTGTTGTATTTGTGGCTCGATGCTCCAGGATGCTCTCCGATGGTCCTCGCCGAAAGAAAAAAAAAAAAAAAAAAAAAAAAAAAAAAAAAAAAAAGGCCGAACGACGGCACACGCAAGGACGCAAAACCCTTGGAGGCCGAAGACGGGATTTTTTGAGCGGCGGGCGACCCATGAAAACGGCAAAGGACGGGCCTCAGAGGCAAGGACACAAAAGTAATTACCCTAGATGAAGGCGCGCGTCCTTACTAGGCGCGTTGACTGTAGGGGGAGGGGATAATCTGTTTAGAAGGAAGAAGGCGCTGGCCCTGAATCTGTAGACAAGGCCCGCGCCTTCTAAGAAGCAGGTGCCTCTAAGAAGCCTGCCCCCTTCCAACTTTCAAGGTCTGGGCAAAGTACGCCCGACTGAAGTTTCATGGAAGGCACTGAATGTTGCGTCATGCACCAGTGCCCCAAAAAATCCAGACCCCTCCCCAGCGCTCAGCTTCTGTTTCCCGAATCGTTGTCCGACGGCCCCGATACCAGGCGAGGGCAGCCAAAGGCCGGAAACAGCGAAAAACTCTCCGTCGTGATCGCTTCACGACGCGAGGGGGTCTGGGTCGGATCGTCGGGGGAACGGCCTCGAATCGAATCGGGCCCTGGCCATCGCTCGGAACACTATTCCCCATGCATGTTTCGATTTCGTGCATGATTGTTTGTCGCAAGGTGCCCCAAGATGCTCTTCGATTGTGTGTGTGTGCAAATTCGAAGCCATAATTTAGGTTTGTGTGCGTGTGTGTGGTTGTTGTGTCTTTTGGTTTTGATGTTCCGTCCAGTACTTGTTTGTAATGTTTGTGTTTGTTTGTGCTTGTTTGTGTTCGTTTTTGTGTTTGTGCCGCAGCGGTCTGGACAGTAATGCAGGGGAGGGAGGACGAAGAAGAGAGGAGGGGAGGTCTGATACCGAAGCCTCGAGGGCCACCTCTGGGGCCAACCGAATGACGGATAATGGGAGCAGGGAGTGGCTAAGGATAGAAAAGGCGGGCGAAGGATAAGAGCGGGAGGGGAGCGCGAGCGGCGCACCGAGGAGCAGAAGCGGAGAGAAAGGAAGCTCTTCGGTTGATCATACCAGGAAAAGGGCAAGGTTGATGACTAATTCGCTAATTCAAGGTTCTGACTTTGCACACACAACTTCGATGGTCCACGCCGAGAAGAAATGCACACGCCCGAGCGATGCCAAGAGACGTCCGAGATCGATATCAGACCGGAGCGGCCAGGTCGGGATGCTCACCCCCTCTGCCCCTGGCCGCCGAGGCGGACTCCGGGGAGCCCACGAAGACATGCTCGACGCCGTCGGACTGCTGGTCCTGTAGGAGGCAACTGCTGGGAGGTCTTCGTAGTAAAGATTCGGGAGAATTTAGCCTCATTGGGGGGCTGCTACGCCGGCTTCGGCCGCGGATCGGGCTGACGCGGGATTAAGCGAGATGGAGCGGGATCAAGTCCGATTGAGCCAGAGTTCGGACCAGGGCAAAGTCAGAATCCCAGACATGCGACGTCCTGATTTTTCAATACGGCGTCCCCGGAAGTCCCGACACTTTCCCCAGAACCGGTTTCTCATCCTGAATCGTTTTTTGACAGTCCTGGGGCCCGGCAAGGGCCCCCAGGGGCCGAAAATAGCAAAACCTCCCGCCCATGTCTGGGATCGTGTCTGGGATCTGACCTCCCCAGGAGTTGCATCCGAACGGTCCGAGAGCATGCCCGACATCTGCTGGAACCTCTCGACGCGCACGGCGTAGCCCCGGGCCGCCGAGGCGGCCTCCCGGGGGCCCACGCAGGCGTGCTCCACGCTCTCGGACTGCGGGTCTGAGAGCATGCCCGACCTCCGCGGGCCCTGGAAACGACAGGGCCGTGTTTTCGACGGCTCCGTTTTGCCGCTTCTGCCGCCGGTTCCGTCGCCATTTAGTTTTTGCTATTCCGGCTCAGGCTCTGGCTCCAATCCGGGAGCCGTTGCTTTGCCGTTTCTAGTCGCCGTGCTTTTTTGCCGTCGGAGACCGTGGAAAAACGGCCCTGCCGTTTCCGGGGCCCACTAGTACGCAGAAGGCATCTATACACCACCACCGTGCCAGGCCAAGGCCATCCTGGCCCTGGCATGGTGTCTACGCCATCCTGGCCGAGGCCAGGAGGGTCTAGACACCATCCTGGGTCCCAGGATGGCCCCGGCCTGGCACGGTGGTGGTGCATCGATGCCTTCGTCGGAACTGAGTGCCCGACATCTGCTGGAACTTCTCCACGCGCACGGCGTAGCCCTCGACCCCGTGCTCCGCGCTGGCCTCGCGAGCCGTGTGGCTGCGGCGCGCGCCGCCCGCCGCCCGTCGACCGCACGGGCCCGAGCGCTCGGCCAGCGAGCGTCGTCGTCGTCGTCGTCGTCGTCGGCGAAGCGCCGCTGTGCCCCGCGGGGCGGGGGGGCGGGGCGAGCTCGGAGCGCTGAAGGCCTGGACACTGGGGCGGGCTTGGCGGGCCGCTCTCCGGAGCGCGGCGGGCGAGGACCTCGGAGGCTCCTTCTGGGGAGCTTCCCAGAGACACTCGCGCCACTCGTGCGTCGCAGCTGCGCCGAAGCTGCGTCGAAGCCGCGTCGAGCGTGAGCCGAGCTCGACTCATTTGCAGCGAACTGGGGTCGAACTGGGGTCGAACAGATCCGGCATCGACAGGTGGGCCACAGGAAGGTCCCCCGGACGAGAGCATCGACAGCACCGGCATCGCGGCAGGCTGAGCCCAAGTTCTGGACCGAGCGCACCGCCGCGGAACGACGCGTCAGAGAGTCGGAGTTCCTGACCAGGGCCCGGGAGGGCCGAGGGCCCGAGGAGGACTGGCTCGGGAGGGGGCATCGTCACTCATGCTGCGTCTCCGGGCGGCGTTGTCTGTCACACCTCACGCCGCTGTCCGAGTCGAATCCGCATCGAATCACTGGCCAGCATGCCGGATCCGCGTCGAAGCCACGTCGAGCCCGCGTCGCATCCACGCCGAGCACACGCCGAATCCGCGCCGAACCCACGTCGAAGTAGAAGAAAAGGCCGCCATTTGTAGGACAGGCAAGATCCCCCGAAGATGCACAGTCAAACCTCGGCCAAGGATCGACGAGCAAGGACCAATCACAAAGATGGTCAACAAATGTGTTGACAGCAAACAAAGACAAAGGTCCAACATTGAACACGAACGTTGAAAACGAAGCCGGTGCCAAACGGGAACGAACGACGAAACGGTGCACTTCAACCAAGCCCGGACAACGAAAAGAAACAACAACAAAAAACGAAACGGACAACAAGACAAGGGCCCGAACGAAGTGAGACAGCGCTGTGGTCGGCCCTGGGAAGAGGACGAAAGAGGACCAGAAAGAACCCCCAAATGCATCAACGATGCTGAAACAGATTCCCGCCCCCCCCCCCCCCCACAAGTCCCTTCAAGCCTTCCTCTCCCCTCGCCCCTTGAGGGACCAGCGCCCGCGTGGACCTGCCATGCAGGCGACGGCCCAGCTTGGGAAGGGGACCGACTCCATAGCACCCATCCAGCGAGGAAGGAGGAATGCGCAGAGGTAGGCTCATGCAGTCCAGCGAGGCATCCAGCGAGATCCCCGTGTTGAAATGGGACCGCCCCCACGTGGGCAGTGTGTGCACAAGTCCCACCAACCATCAGGCATGAGTTGGCTGACGAGTTCGTTCCGCTAAACCCCTTCTTCCCATTCGCGTAGGGGGTTCCCCCTCCCCCTCCCCACTCCCAGTGGGACTGGAGGGGGCGTTTCGCGAGGGGCTGCAGCGTCCAAAAGGGCCCGAGATGGCTCCAAAGTGGACCCAAAAGAGTCCAAAATGTGCCCCAAGATCACTCAAGGTATCCAAACATGGTTCAGTGTAGCTTCCGCTATGCCTCGCAGAGGTCCCAAGACCGCGCCAAGGCGGCTCCGAAGTGCCCTCCGTGCCTCCCGCTGAAATTCCCAAAAGGCCCAAATCATTCAGAACCCGTGTGCTTGCCAATGTTGTTTGCCGTCTCGCCGTTTCGCTTCCGATGAGCTCTGAAAGCCTCGCGACGGCTGCAAGATGGCTCAAGGCGGCCCCAATCGAGAACCGATAGAAACCAAAGACGGCACCACGAGCACCCAAGGCCGCCCCAAGAAAGAACGCTCCAGCAGTGCCCCAAGAGGATCAGGGTAAGGCCCCAGCGGGGGGGACGCAACTTGACGGCGCTCTCTTCGTGTGATCGATGGCTTCCAGGGAAGCCTCCACAGCCTTCGAGAGGCGCCAGGAGGGTCCCGAGAGTGCCCCAAGTTGGCCCCGCGAGAAGACCACACTGTGGTCTTCTCCCTGAGGGCACCAAGAGGCCTCCAACATGGCGCCACGAGGCCCAGACGCTCCAACTGCGAACGATCTGCCACGGCCTCACTCCTGTCGTCGCCGTCATCGTCGTCGCCTACTTCCCCCTGAATCCTTTCACAAACCCGCGTCTGTTGCTGGATGGGCTGGTGGGAATACGAGTCGGTCGGGCATGTCCCCCTACAGGCGGATTCTGGACGAAAAGTAAAATTAGTCAAACAAATACCCCCAAATTGCTCAAACATACCCCAACCATAATTCCCAGACTATTTTTTGTCATACTACTTTTGAACATTCCTCCTGCAGAGGGAAAGGCCCGACTTAAGAACACGAGAAGCGTCAAGGCTTGACACTTCTGGCAAGGAGCGTCGAAACGCCCCGAACAATGACGACATCTCAAGGAAAAACAGCCGCCCTGCATCCGTGCAGCTGCTGCATCTGCTCCAAAACTCCCGCTCTTGTTTTGGAGACACCCCGATCGAACGCCAACGGTTGAAGAAAGAACACGCCCTTCATCCGGGCGTTCGGTCATGGGGGGGCGATACATTGGGGGGCGTCGAGGGTTGCACGAAAGGGGCCCTAGAGGGGCCCTAAACGAGCCCCCTAGGGCCCCGACGGGGTACGAAAGGTGCACGAAAGGTGCACCTTTCTTACCCCCCACATATCGCCCCCCCATTAGTGAACGCCCGAGGCATCCGTGCAGATGTTGCATCTGGTCAAACTCCAGGTCTGTGAATACTTAGAAGTCTGAAGCGTAAGGCCCAATTTCGAACAGGAACCGCCTACCACCCCTGCACCCGTTCTAGACATGTAAGACAAGCGTGCGGGGCCCGGAAGCGGGGGCCCCAGTCGAAAAAAAAGCATGCATCATCTGAGCGACTGCAGCCCCGTGAGACAAACCTGCGCGGCAGTCGAGAGATCCATGTGTGAAGACGGCCCGTCCTCAACCATGAAAGCCACTGAAAACTTGTAGGACAAACGTGCGCGGCCCGAGGGCGAGAGCTCCGTCTTGAAAACGCCCGCCCTCCAGCACTGGAGCTGCTGCAGGCTTCTCAGACGGAGGTGCGCGGCGTCAAAGCAAGGTCTATGTTGGCAACGGACCTCCATCCATCCTGGAAGCTGCGGCAGATGTCAAGTTTCGGAGCCACAAATAGTAGGGAAGAATCCAGGAGAAACACCTGGGGTGCGACAGGAAAAGGGAGAATGAGGAGGAGAACGATCAGGAGAGGCGTCACCAATCAGGAGCAGGGAAGGAGGATGAGGACGAGAACGTGCCGATCGGCGGCATTCACCCGGAGCTGCACGCGCCCCCACATAAACGTGCGTTGGGTTAGACGGCATCTGCCACGCCTGCGGTCTCGGCACCGCGCGCGCGCGCGCCGTGCTGCTGAGGCCGTGGCTGCAAGGATCCGACCAACGCACTCGGCGTCAGCCATGACAACGAAGGCCAATGAACCCGGATGAACTCGGGCTTGTGGATGGAGATTGCGCGCCAAACGCTTGGACTTCGAATAAGGTACCATGACGCGCACGACCTTGCCATACCGTGCGAAGTATGCCTCCAGCAACTTCTTCGACTGAAAGCCCATTCGGCTGATGCCTCGCGTGATGAAAACCTGTCTCGGGTCGAAATTATTGGCCAAGTCCTGCAAGTGGTTCCTGGTAGGGGAGCGACTCCCCAGCACACGCGCAACCGAAACACACACTCACCAGAAGAGCTCCACGATCAACCAGCCTCGATCAAATGCCATGAGAACCCTATGCTACACCCGTTACCATGCCTGCAGCACGCAGGGGAGCGCCCCCAGGCTCAGACATTTGTGGGTGGCAGAGCGGGTGCGCTGGTCTTCGAGGGCCGCACCCCCTTCTGGGACACGTCAGCCGTTGTGAACCGCCCCCCCCCCCCCCCGCCAAGCCTGCGGGCCCTGCTCGGGGTGCACCACGGCATCCCCGGAACCCAACACACACAAAAGAAGGCTATGGAGCAAAAACGCCCAGCACACACACACACACACACACACACACACGCATCAATACCATGTGCTTTCCTCGTCTTCCCCGTCGCCTCCGCCACAGCCCCTCCCTTCAACGCGAGGCGTGGACATGCCCGAGGAGCCCAAGAAGCATTGGATGTGGGTACTCCGGGGGCCGGGGGGAACTGAACAAACACATTTCCACTCCCTCCCTGGGACGGTTTCCCAGGCGGTGGATACGCCTGAACTCTACGTAGCCTCGGATCCATACCCCACTCCTCAGCAGGCACCTGTGGGACCTTTCCACAGATTCCTCCCCCCCAACCCGACAGGTCAAATTCCCGAGAACCCGTCTGTGTCTTGCGCTACCGGAATCAGCCTCTGGCGACCGTTTTTCAGTCTTCCAGCTCTTGGGAGTTCAAGCGGGACGACCGCACGCGCAACACCAGCAAAGCCTGCGCCCACGATAGTTGCCACCAGGGGATCTGAAAATTCGGGGCTCCAGGGGGACAGCGGGGATATTATTCCCCACATCCTGAGTGGGGTTCTTGTTTTCCCAGGACACCCTCTCCTTCCCATCTTCCCACCTTCCCACCTTCCCACCTCCCGCTCCCTCCTCCTATTCCTACCATACCATACTATACCATACCATACAATACCGCTCCCTCTTCCTACTCCTACCATACCATACCATACAATACCATACCATACCATAATATAGCAGACCACCGTACCTACCATACCACACCTAGGAAACCATACATACACCATCACCGCATACCTACCACACCATATAATACCATACAATACCTACCTACCACGCTCGCTCCCTCTTCCTGCTCCTACCATACCATACTATACCATACCATACAATACCATACCATACTATTGCAGACCACCGGGGTCAGGCAAGCACGTAGGAAACCATACATACACCCCTCCCACCGCTCCAGGGAGGCCCCGCCTGAGCGAGGACAGCATTCGCAAACCATATTATTTATCAGGTTTCGTGCCCCTCCCACCGCTCCAGGGAGGCCCCGCCAGAGCGAGGACAGTATTCGCAAACCATATTATTTATCAGGTTTCGTGCCCCTCCCACCCCTCCAGGGAGGCCCCGCCAGAGCGAGGACAGTATTCGCAAACCATATTATTTATCAGGTTTCGTGCCCCTCCCACCGCTCCAGGGAGGCCCCGCCTGAGCGAGGACAGTATTCGCAAACCATATTATTTATCAGGTTTCGTGCCCCTCCCACCCTCCAGGGAGGCCCCGCCAGAGCGAGGACAGTATTCGCAAACCATATTATTTATCAGGTTTCGTGCCCCTCCCACCGCTCCAGGGAGGCCCCGCCTGAGCGAGGACAGTATTCGCAAACCATATTATTTATCAGGTTTCGTGCCCCTCCCACCGCTCCAGGGAGGCCCCGCCAGAGCGAGGACAGTATTCGCAAACCATATTATTTATCAGGTTTCGTGCCCCTCCCACCGCTCCAGGGAGGCCCCGCCTGAGCGAGGACAGTATTCGCAAACCATATTATTTATCAGGTTTCGTGCCCCTCCCACCGCTCCAGGGAGGCCCCGCCTGAGCGAGGACCGATTCGCCTGAGCGAGGACAGTATTCGCAAACCATATTATTTATCAGGTTTCGTGCCCCTCCCACCGCTCCAGGGAGGCCCCGCCAGAGCGAGGACAGCATTCGCAAACCATATTATTTATCAGGTTTCGTGTTCCTCCCACCGCTCCAGGGAGGCCCCGCCTGAGCGAGGACAGCATTCGCAAACCATATTATGTATCAGGTTTCGTGCCCCTCCCACCGCTCCAGGGAGGCCCCGCCTGAGCGAAGACAGTATTCGCAAGCAATCTTATTTATCAGGTCTCGTGCCCCTCCCACCGCTCCAGGGAGGCCCCGCCAGAGCGAGGACAGTATTCGCAAACCATATTATGTTTCAGGTTTCGAGCCCATCCCACCGCTCCAGGGAGGCCCCGCCTGAGCGAGGACAGTATTCGCAAACCATATTATTTATCAGGTTTCGTGCCCATCCCACCCCTCCAGGGAGGCCCCGCCGGAGCGAGGACAGTATTCGCAAACAGTATTATTTATCAGGTTTCGTGCCCCTCCCACCGCTCCAGGGAGGCCCCGCCTGAGCGAGGACAGTATTCGCAAACCATCTTATTTATCAGGTTTCGTGCCCCTCCCACCGCTCGAGGGAGGCCCCGCCAGAGCGAGGACAGTATTCGCAAACCATATTATGTATCAGGTTTCGTGCCCCTCCCACCGCTCCAGGGAGGCCCCGCCTGAGCGAGGACAGTATTCGCAAACCATATTATTTATCCGGTTTCGTGCCCCTCCCACCGCTCCAGGGAGGCCCCGCCTGAGCGAGGACAGTATTCGCAAACCATATTATTTATCAGGTTTCGTGTTCCTCCCACCGCTCCACGGAGGCCCCGCCTGAGCGAGGACAGTATTCGCTGCCATCCTCGTCGACCCCTCCCCCCGCACCTCCGCCTCTTCCTCTGCCTCCTGACTAAGCCCGCGCCCTATTAAAACGCCCATGTGGGGAACTCCGTTAGCATAATTTTTTCCCCAGCAATTCGCATGCAGGATGGACGGCGGTACGGCGCACGGGTTGGAAGTGGTAGTGGTGGTGATAGATATAGAGGGCGTGTCGCTGGATGTCCCACGGGGGGGCGGGGGTTGGGACCCCCCCCCCCTTCCCCGATCCGTCGTCGGGGACCCCCCACCCCTCCCCCCCTTTCCCGATCCGTCGTCGGGGAACCCCCCCTCCCCCCCTTTCCTGGTCCGTCGTCGGGTACCCCCCCCCATCCGCCCTTTCATCAAAAGAATGGGGGGGCGCCAAATTCGACCCCCCCCTCTCCCTTCCCCCTTTGCCATGGCGCCCCCGGTCTCGGGAACCCGACCCCTACCACCCCTACCCTAACCCCGGGACCGAACCCCAAACCCAAACCCTAACCCAAACAGTACTTACTCATTACGCACTACTCACTACCCACAATTCACCACTCGCAACTCACACTCACTGCTCACTACTCACTACTCACACCTCACGACTCACTACTCACTACCCACGACTTATTCCCCACTACCCACTACTCACTACTCCCTACTCCCTACTCGCTACTCACTACAAGCTACTCGCTACTCACTACCCACTATTCAATACTCAACCACTATCCACTACTCACGACTCACACTTCACTACTCACTACTCACTGCACACAACTCACCACTCACGATCCACTACTCGCTACTCACTACTCCCTACACAATACAATACTCACTACTCACTACTCACTCTCCGCTAGCCCCTACACCCTACTCGCTACCCAACACGCACTATTCACTACCCGCTACTCACTACCCACTACGCTCCCACTACTGAGCATTCACTATTTCCAATGTCCTACTCACTACTCCCAACTCAGTATTCACTGCGCACTACCCAGTACTCAATACTCACTACGCACTAAACACTGCTCACGGCCCACTACTCACTACTCACTAAGCACTACTCACTACCCACTAACCACTGTCCACTACTTACTACTGAATACTCACAATTCACGACTCACTACGCACTGCCCGCACCTCACTACTCACTATCCGCAACGCGCTAGGAACTATTCACTACCCACTGCGCACTACTCACTACTCACGTATCCCTCCTCACTAATCACTAGTCGCACATCGCTACTCACTACCCACTACTCACGACTCACTATTTACTACTCACAAATAACTTCTACCCGCTACTCCCTACTCACTGCCCACTACTCAATACCCGCTTCTCGCTTCTCATTACTCACTACGCACTACTCCCTACTCACTACTCACTTCTCACTACTCGCTATCCACTACTCACTACCCAATATTTTCTACTAACTACCCACGACGCACTACTCACTACTCACTACCAACTACTCACGACTCCCCAATCCCTACTCCGTACTCACTTCTCACTACTCAATAGTCACCACTCCCTACTCGCTACCCAATACTTGCTCCTCCCTCCCCAGCCCTCTGTTCGGCGCAAAGGGGGGGACGGGGTCGAACCCTTTTCCCCCCCTTCCAGCGCCAAGGGGCGGAGGGGGTGAGGGGTGTCCGGACCCCCCCCCCCGTTCGGGGGGGGGAGGGTCGGACCCCCCCCCGTGAAGGGGGGGAAGGGGGGGGGGTCGAAAATCTCACCCCAACTTTGGAGGGGGGGGGTTCTGCGAGCACACAAAACCAATGATCTATTCAGTGTCATCCACTGGCGCGCTTTCATATATATAGATAACAGCAGTATTGGTAGTAGTAGTCGCCATAGCGGGAGGAGTAGTAGTAGTTGTAGTAGCAGTAATAGTAATAGTAATAGTAATAGTAGACGTAGTAGTAGTATTAGTAGTAGTAGTAGTAGTAGCAGCAGTAGAAGTAGTAGTAGTAGTAGTAGTAGTAGTAGTAGTAGTGGTGGTGGTGGTGGTGGTGGTGGTGGAGGTGGTGGTGGTGGTAGTAATAATAGTACTAGTAGTGGTGATAGGAATAGTAGTAGTAGTCGTAGTAGTAGTAGGAGGAGTAAAAGTCGTAGTCGTAAGAGTAGTAGTCGTAGTAGTCGTAGTAGTAG